CTGTAAAGCATTCATATTTACAGTATTTATATATTTAAAAATTATTTACTGCTTCACAGTGTTGCATACATTAAGGCGATATAATTCATGCTGTAGGCGCAAAAATATAGGCAACTTTTTGGCCATTTTGAGAATCAATTTAGTTTACTTACTCATTTTTGAAAATTTACTTTTGCCAATATTAGTTTCTATATAACACTTTTGCAATAATTTTTTAAAAATATGTTTCATAAAAATGTCCCTGTATATAAGTTATTAACATGTGTAAGATAGTGAAAAATATTAATTTTATTTTCATTGAACCTTTTTGCAGATTATACGGTATATATTCATTTGTTGTTATCAATGGCATCGCGGGTACCTTTCTCATTTCTCCAATAGCCTATCATCTGATTGTGCCCTCGCGATAATAATTCACCTGGTTAGCATTTATAGTTTCAAATTCATAAATGTCAACAAAATTTATTTATAAATTAAATACTCACCTGTCTCACCAATTAATACAGTTTTACCTGTCCTTGGATCTACAATTTTAGTTTCCATGTGGTCTATTGGACGACCTTATAAATAAATAAAAGTTTAGTATGATAAAATTTAATAGTTGTAAAATTGATCTGGTTTCTATTCCAAATTATGAAACAATTAGTTTATAATTTAAAAGTAATTAAATTTAATTTAACAACCTTCAATAAAACGTTGATAACATTGTCAACCAATTTGTTAGGAATAAATTATATGTAAATTACATTACATTAAAGTATTGGAAATTAATTTATTTAAGAAATTCATTTGCTTAATTAATCTTTTCGAAAATGTTATATTACCCACTGTCTCTAGGCGATTTACCAGGGTGTCCGATTGATATGACGTAGTCCCTCCCGTACCTGTGGAAATAAATTAAAAATATAAATCCAATAAATTTCCAGTAAAATATATTAATTAATAATTTGTGACAGGTAAAATTACCAGCTTCGGTAGCCCCGTATCCCACCCTTACATCCGTGCAATTGGGTATTAGTTTCAGCACCCGGTACGCCATCTCGCGGGGAACTGTAGCCCCGCCTATTACTAGTCCCTTTAAACTAAGTAACTGCTGTCCGCTTTTCTCTAAATAGTTCATTATATCGATGATCATAGTAGGAGTTCCGAGTAGGTAGGTGCACTCGTTTTTGTTTATGGCATTCACGATTAGTTGGACGTCGTATTTATAGTTCGCTATTACTTTTGGATAATAAAATAAATTACATTTCTTTCATTGGTGAGTGTGTGGGGGGGGGGGGG